TGCTGTCTGGGGGGCAGTGCTGAAGCCCCGGTTCAGAGGGCCTTGAGTAGGGTGGAGGTAATTCCTGATACTCTGCTGGGGAGGGAAGAATGGCTGGTGCAGAAGGGGCTTTCTCAGGGCTTGCCAACATAACTTGTAACCCAGCATGCTTTATGCAGTGTTTAAACCAAGAGGGGGGCTGTTGAAATAAGTCTAACACTGGTCAATATATGGAAACTGATCTGGGTGTCCAGGGGAACCTGTCACCACATTTCATACAGCCTGGGTCACCTTGGGATCATATGTCCCACTGTCTGGATCCCACCTCAAATGATGGCCACTCCAATTTACACAGGGTGTGGAGTTTTTTGGGGGTTAGTTTTACCCCATATTGGCTTGAAAATCCAGTTTTGAAATTGACCATCATGCACTGGAGGGGGGTGCAGGGCTGGGAACCAGATGACCCCATCTGTTCTGCCTCTTTTTCAGTCTACTTGTGTTGGTCACTCGGGTTCTCCTGCTCTTATGATATTTCCAGTTGTGGAAGGCACTATACTTGTGCTTCACCCTTTCCAGTACTGGCTTTAAACAGGCCTCGGTCCCAAATCTTGTAATGAGAGGATGCCTAGCTTAATGGGTCTGTCCCTGGCCTGAGGTAAGGGAGCAGGCAGAAGGTGCCAAGGGAGGATATAGGATTCCCCTGAACCACACCACAAGGGCCGATGATAGGCCTCGTAGAGGCTCAATGCAGCTCGGGTGTGGTCTCCCTGGGATGTGCTCTGGTATGGAGAGGCCTGGGGAATGTTGGCAAATGGCAGAACAGGCGGACCAGAAGGTCCACTGAGTGTGAATTTTGAATCCACCACAGCTTAAAGAGATTGCAGAACTCTTGCCAATCAGTTTGTATTGTGCTGTGGCAACCCACTTCCCAACAGTCAGTATGGTGCCAGAATGACGAATTGGGATGTGTACCGGAACAATTTCCATAGCAACACCGAACCTCCTTTTGGCAAAGGAGGTAATTACTTTTTTTCTATCCTAGGCAGGCAAAAAGGCTCAGTAATTCCTTTCCTAGTGCCTGGCTCCCAAGGACGGAGAAAAAACTACATTTGAGCCGCCGAGGACTGAATTTCCTTTCAGACATTAGAAGAGGAGCAGGAAAGGAGAATAGGCCTTCAGTGGTGGTAGAGGAGGAGGAGGAGGAGGAGGAGGAAGAAGAAGAAGAGGAGGAAGAGGAGGAGGAGGAGGAAGAAGAAGAAGAAGAGGAGGAAGAGGAGGAGGAAGAAGGGGGAGGGGGAGGGAAGAAAGAAGAACAGGGTTATTTCTAGGTGCCAAAATTCTGCCAAAGTTCCCTGAAGCCAGTGGTCATTTAACCAGTTAAGGACATCATCTGGCCCTAGAGAGGCAGGTTTAAACCACTGTAGGTCTGTCACTAAATGTCTTAAAAAACTAGAAAACCTACAAAGAAGATAGGACCACATAGAAGGAAGACAAGACTATGGAAGGAAGACAGACACTGGGTGGGTGTCCCCTGTGGGAGAGCAGTCTGATGCCTGCCTGGCCACATCCCCGAAGGGATATTTCAGAGCGTCTTGGCTAAAGTATACCCGCATAAACCCCGGGCCTGGTCAGCACGGTGGTGAATCATCGTTATGCTCTATGACCTCTCTGTGGAACTGTGGGTGAAGGCCCACACAGGCCCCATAGCCCTCTGGCCGTGGGACCACACGTACACATTTTCACTCTCACACTCATACAGAGGTTATGGAAGACAACCGAAAACTGAATTACCCGAGCCTCCAGTGACGTCTAATGGTAGGCTTGCCTTGTCAGAGATTAATGACCATATCCGGTCTCCTGACCTAGGCTCCTGATGGACCGGACTCCCCGATTTCCAGACCTGACTTCCCTCTGGAAGTTTCTGTGACCCTGAGGAATGTCGCGTGAACTTCAGCCGAGTAGTCTTCCGTCCATCATGGGGCTGGAACTCTGAGGCCCTGGAACGTCTCAGAGGGCACCTCCCCTAGAGATCCGCAGGGCGGGAGCGGCCACTCAGGCAAGACTCCAGGGATTTTGTCTGAGTGATGATGGAAAATCGCGCTGGGGCCTCCAAATGTTGTAACCAAGCAAGCGCAAAATCACCACTGAGACAAAGACTAGGCCAAATTACAAGGTTTTTATTACCCGTGGCCGGCCATAGAGGACTTGTGTCTCTCTAACCCGTGGCCCCGAAAGGAGGGTGTCAAGACCTTTTATGCCTGTAAACCACATCCTGGGCAGGGGCAGGGGCGAGGGCCTTTGGACATTCTGAGGGCCAGGGGACTTTGGACATTACGATTGTTACTTAAGTCGTTTACAGAAGTCAACATAAGCGTTAGTTTACACATTGTCTGGGTAGGGTGGAAATTACAGACCTTAGTTACTTATGACAAGTCTTAAAATGTGCAGGGCACAAAATGGCATTGGTTCGGACTGCTTGCCTGTCACATTAGGGTTATAGGGAGCAGTTTCAACAGAAAGCCAAGGTCTGGTCGAGGTATGCAGTTTATGGGGCATTTACCATGTCAAACTTTCATTTGATAATCATAAGTCAGCTTTTCTCCAGCAATTATGGTTCTTGTGGAAAACAATGCAATTCAGGGAAGATGAGTATTGTTGTAGGAGTTAAGAAATTATTTTAGGCAGATAGAGAGGAAAAGGGGGCCTTGAGAAGTTTTCATTTTGTAAGCATCTCCCAAAAACTTTCTTGTAAAGCCCTTTTCTCTTAGAGCCTGGCTTGCAACTTTTGATATGCAAATGCAAGCCGTTAGAAACTGGATTCACCCAAACATGGCAATTTCCATGGCCTTCTTGCCCTGTCCCCACATGTTCCTGGCAACATGGCTACCCCCACATATCCTTATGTGTGTAGCACATCATGGTGCCCTGCATTTGCACATTAAAAGGCTAGGGTGGGAGGGCTAGCTTTTTCACAGGCTACATGAATGACATGCCTAGTCAAACCAATCCCCTGAGGCCTATGCAAATCAGACATGACCTCTTCCAGCCTCTGTATATATACCAAGTTGGTATCTGTTACAGGTGGGGTTGCCTCTCTCAGCTTTGGAGCCCCCCTCTGTCTCTGTACAGGGGAGCTTCTTCCTTCTTGCTTCTTGCCCCTCTTGCCTATTAAACTCTCCACTCCTTAAAACTCCACATATGTCCATGTCATTTTATCTAAACTGGCACGAGGACCAAGAATCCTTGTGTTCCTCCACTCATTGGAGCCATACCAGTATCAAGATTATCAATGAAAATATTGAATACCTGAAGATTGGGTTGTAGGGGTTCAGTCAGGTTGGTGGGAGAAATTGTAAAATAGACACAAACCTTCTTGGAAGGCTGGAATGTTTTGCCAAAGCCTCAGAATAGAGTTATGACTGAAGGCAGCCTAATCCTCTTTGAGCTAATAGCAAGAGTAAATAACAAAGGAATGTAAGGGAGCATCTCTAAATAGCTTCTTTATTCATGTGGCCCTAAGGCTGACCTTTGACCATCTGGGGGTGCATGATTGCTTTCTACTGGGCAGTGAGGGGGGGCGGTTCTGCATTGTTAATTACCTTCTAGTGGTGTTTAAACCCTTGTCATTTTATGTGTACCAGATAAATGCATGCTTGGCTGGTGGATTGGGCACAGTTGCTACAAGTCTTTCAGTCAGCAGCCTGGCCTCCTAGTTTGCTCTTTCATGGAATACCGGTGTTTGCATACATTATTCATCACTGCATACTGGTGTTTGCATACATTATTCATCTGTCGTGCAGCTGGGGTCTGCAGGATGGACCCTGGCAGGTGGTGACCCTGATGTGATAAATGCTACAAAGCATCGCTATGGCTCCCCCAAAAACGAAGGTGAAAATGACCGTGCAGTCAGTGAGTCAGTACTTCATTGGCACCCACTTGGGATTTCCAAGTTTGGGGGGATTCTTCAGGCTAGGGTTTCATCATAGGACAACAGTAATCAGCTCAACAGAAACAGTACATAAAAGTATTGAAACAGCTGCTTAAAGCCAGTGGAGCCTTGGTTTCACAGGCTCAATTAAGGGACCTAATGCAAACTGTTGTCTTCCACAACCCATGGTTCCCAGTAGAAGGCATGCTAGATGTCAAGCTCTGGAAACAAATGGGAAAAACTATTAAACAACATCATGCTCAAGGGCTGTGGTCCCCAGTATCATCTCTAATGCTTTAGTGAGGGCAGCTCTGGTCCCATTATACACAGAAGAACCTAAAAAGGGGAAAGAGGGAGAATCGTCACCTACCTCACCACATGCAAGTCCCTCAGCCCCACTATCACTGGGCCAAAATAAAGAGGAAACAGGTTTTGCCTGAGCCCTCTCCTCCAATAGATAGGAGAAAAGACAAGGGATGCCCTACAGCTGGGACCTTGACTTAGGGCCTTAGAAGAGGAGTTTTTAGCTTGCCTGGTAATGCAAGATCAACAAAACAATCAGGTGTATGCTTATAAAAAGATAAGAAAAAAGGCATTAGAGGCCAAAACTGCATGGGCAAGTGGGCAGTGGGCAGAAGACAAGGCTCAGTGGCAAGGAAGCTCATGGCACTCCAGGCCAGTAGGAACTGCCCAGGCTGGCAGCAGCCACCCAGTGGAGGGAGGAGGGAGCAGTGCAAACAAAAAGCAGAACAGACAAAAGGCAGCTCTCAGGCAAGTGCAGTGTGGCCACCATCCCAGAACTGCTGCCCTCTGGCTTTGTGGGTGGCCCATAGCAAAATTTTGTATGTTCCTTGTTTACAAGCAATGTCCCAGATTATAATTCTCTGCTAAGATTTAAGTAAAATTTTAGAATTTGTAAGACCCCTTTATAACAACGGCCACTGTTGTTATTCCAAACCTCCCCTACATGGCTCTCTAAAAATCCAATTTGGTAGAAAAATAGCCTCTAAAGGGAGAGAAATTACAACAAGCCCCTGGGTTAGTTAAGGATCTAACTACTTATAAGTTGTAAAACTTGTTTTCTGTCTTAAAGGGCCATACAACTCTGGATTCTCCCAAATATTTAACCCCTGCAGCGAAGAGAGAAATTGAGGAAATGCAACAAGCTATCTCTCAAAGGCAACTAGATCACATCTATCCACGGTATTCAATTCAATTGTTTGTTTTTCCCACCAAACACTCCCTTACAGAGTTAATAGGATAGATGACCCCAGAACTGTTCTTTCTAGAATGAGTTTTTTGCTCACATGCCGGGACTAAAACATTATCTCCCTATATCCAGTTAATCAGTAAAGTCATGTATTCAGGCTGCAGACGATGCAATGTTTCTAGGTTATGATCCTGATGTCATCAGGATTCCTTTGAGTAAAAAGCTTTTCGAAGCAGCTTTGCCCCTATCATTAGATTGGCAAATAGCACTCTTCAATTACACAGGTCAAATAGAGAATGCCCTTCCTGCTGATAAACTCCTTTAGTTCTTATCTCATATTTCTGGTGATCTTACCTACAAAAATAGTTCACTCCCCCATACCTAATGCTTTAACACTGTTTACTGATGGTTTTCCTAAACATGGAAAAGCTGCAGTCTGGTGGAGACCACATAATTTTCTCATTGATCTGGACTCAGCTGAGATTGGGGCCCTGATATTGGCCTTGGAAACTTTTCCCACTCAGCCAATTAACATCGTTAGTGACTACTCTGCTTACTCTGTTTTGCAGAACCTTGAAACACCCCTCATAAACTCTACACTCTAGCCCACCCTGTATGCACTTTTTCTTCGACTTCAGCAATTGCTGGATCAATGCACACATCCGATTTTTATCACACATATTTGAGCCCATAGCTCACTGCCTGGCCCATTGGCTTATGGCAGTGAAGAAGCAGAACTTCAGGTTGTGACATCACTGCTTGACCAAGCCACCCAATTGCATCAGTTTTTCCACCAAAACTGGAGAAACTTATCTAAACAGTTTCAACTTACCCAAAGAATAGCTAAACAAATTATCTTACAATTCCCAGATTGCCAGCTAACAGGCACGTCCCCTCCTTCAACAGGTGTTAACCCTAGAGGACTAGAACCTAATCAATTATGGCAAATAGATTTTACACACATCCCTGAATTTAGAAAACTAAGATATGTACATGTATTCATTGCTACCAATTCACATTTCATTACCACTCATGCTTTTCCTGGAGAGTCCATCCAATATGTTATTTAACATCCTCTTTTAACTTTTGCAGCCCACAAAAGTTAATGGGGCAGCCCACAAAAATGAAAACTGATAATGGTCCAGCTTATTATGCCAGCTCACAATTTCAACAATTTTGTCACACGTGGAACATCCAACGTTCCACAAGGCATCTGATATGACCTGCAAGGACAGGCCATAGTAGAATATGCCCACTCCATCCTTAAAAATATGCTCAAAGGGGAGTATGGGTAAGGACCCTGCAACACTATTGGAACAAGCCTTATATACCTTTAATTTTTAAAATTTAGATGATAGATTTCAATCAGCTGTAGAAAAGCAATTTGCTAAAACCTCTGAAGACATAAAACCTGTAGTTTTATGGAAAGATGTAAACAGTAATATATGATGTGGTCCAAATTATTTACTAACATGGGGAGGAGGATATGCTTGTGTTCAGACCCCCTCAGTTCCACTTTGGATTGCAGCATGATGCATCAAACCATACCATGGCACAGCTAGGACCCAGCCCGGTACCAGAAATGAAGAAACTGACCTGAGAGCACCTGGTATTCCCAGGCTGTCTCCCATCCAAGTACTAACCAGGCCCAACCCTGCTTAGCTTCCAAGATCAGACAGAAACAGAAAGATTGGAGAGAGAAATAGAGGGACAGAATGAGTAAGAGACAGACTAGAAGAGACAGAGATGAGAGAGAGACACAAAAAGTAAGACAAAGGAGAGAAAGTAGGAAGAAGAGAAAGAAATATTAAAGTTATAGGTATAAGAATGCACCTTTAGTAAGGAAGTTTATAAAACAAAAGGCATGTTGAAGATTGTGAAAGTCATGAAAAATGTTCAAGAAATGTGTAATTTTTGTTTTGAAGGTCTAAGCAAGTTTTAAAATGTTAGAGAAATTCTATGTGTAAACATATTGACTAAAGTTAAAGAAGTATTATCCAGTTCTTCTGTAAACTAAACATTAAAATAAAGCACAACAGGTTTTTCTTAAAGCACTAACTGACTCTTTAACAAAGATTATAACAGGTCTCTTAGCACAGGCACCACCTCTGGAATTTCCAGCACACCACCACCAGCCTGAAGACTACGTCCTCATCAAAGGATGGAAAGAAGAAAAAACTTGAGCCAGCATAGGAAGACCCTACAGGACCCATAGCCCCAGAAAATGTGGCTTCCATGAAAAACGCAAGCCCTGGACATTACTGGGGGATGCTGAAGAAGACAACTCAAGAGGCAGAGTGAGTTCTGCTCTGGATGCAGACAACATGCACTCTAGATAATTTGTTCCTTTTTCATTCCCTCATTCTGCCTACAACGTGTACCTGCTACACTGTATCAAATCCATCTTCTAATCTGCCTTTTTTCTGCCTGTTACATCCCCTTCCCAGCTTCTAACGACATGACTGCTTGGCTATGAGTAATTAACATAACCCTGTGGGGTTCTTCATTAATGGCATACAGTGAACTGAGATGCCAAGTAATATTACAGGTCACTGTTTGACTGAAAAAGAATGTTGCTAATTATACTCATTATTGTTTTGTGTTATTTATTCTAGGACACAAAGCCAGAATAAGAGCAATGACTGCCATGCCTGACAGACCTGCTGCTGCACACATCTGCACCCTTTAATCAGTAAGGCCTGATGCAGAAAACAGAAAAGGGGAAGATGTTCAGTCAGGATGGTAGGAAAAATTGTAAAATAGGTACAGGTCTTCTTGGAAGGCTGGAAGATTTTCTAAAAGCCTCAGGATAGAGTTATGGCTGAAGGCAGCCTAATCCTGTTTGAGCTAATACCAAAGATAAATAACAAATGAATGTAAGGGAATTTATCTAAATATCTTGTTTACTTATGTGATCCTTTGACCATTTGTGGGTGCATGATTGCTTTCTACTTGAGGGGTCAGCATTGTTAATTACCTTCTAGTGGTATTTACTCTAAACCTTTGTCATTTAATCTGTACTACACAAATGTGAGCTGGGCTGGTGGATTGGGGTGCAGCTGCTACAATGCTTTCAGTCAGTGGCCTGGTCCCCTAGTCCATTCTTTCACTGGACATCAGTGTTTGAGTACATTATTCATCTGTCGTTCAGCTGGAGTCTGTGGGATGGACCCCAGCATTGGGTCACAACTGTGATTCACAAATAAGATACATTGCTGTATTGAACTGCATCCATCATGAATTCATCAGATTCATAGTCCAGATCAAAGAGATATGTGATTCCCTTGTTATGATATAACTGTCCCCATTTTTCAGCTTCACTTGTGATTACCTCTCCAACATATTCCAAGACAAAACTCATTATTTTAATTTTCACAAGGGTCTTTACACCCCAGCCACAGCCATTGCTGTTTCAAAAGATGCAAACTGAATACTGTATGCCTTTCTGTACACTCCTTTTGGGACAATGAGGTCCACCTTGACACCTTGAGTTGCATTCATATATGGGGATACCAGGTGGGATTTTAATTTGTTGGTTTTTATTATAAGCCAAAAGAACTCTAGCTTTAGCAGCACAGCATTTTTCAAAGAAGCAATTTGTGCATGAGCAACCAAAGATAGCTTCCTTGACTAAGCAGATTCCCGGAACTGGTTTGGCTTCATTAGTATAGTAGAAGTCTAAGTCTGAAGGTAGGCCCTCTAAACCAACAGTATTTTCAACAAATATCATTTATCATTCTTTTTGCATTGAGTTCATCTTGCTGTCTTTGCAGAGCTATCCTTTGGTGAGCCTTCTTTTTTAAAAAAATTTTATTGTTTTTTTAAATTGTATTTTAGGTTTTGAGGTGCATGTGAAGAACATGCAAGATTGTTGCATAGGTACGCACACAGCAGTGTGATTTGCTGCCTTTCTCCCCATCACCTATATCTGGTATTTCTTCCCATGCTATCTCTCCCCAAATCCCCATCCCCTGCTGTCCCTCCCCTATTTCCTCCGACAGACCCCAGTGTGTGATGCTCCCCTCCCTGTGTCCATGTGTTCTCACTGTTGAACACCTGCCTATGAGTGAGAACATGCAGTGTTTAATTTTCTGTTCTTGTGTCAGTTTGCTGAGAATGATGGTTTCCAGGTTCATTCATGATCCTAAAAAGGACACAAACTCATCGTTTTTGATGGCTGCATAATATTCCCTGGTGTATATATGCCACATTTTCCCTATCCAGTCTATCATTGGGCATTTGTGTTGGTTCCAAGTCTTTGCTATTGTAAACAGTGCTGCAGTGAACATTCGAGTCCATGTGTCCTTACAGTAGAACAATTTATATAATCCTTTGGATATATACCCAGTAATGGGATTGCTGGGTCAAATGGAATTTCTATTTCTAGATCCTTCAGGAATCGCCATACTGTCTTCCACAATGGTTGAACTAATTTATACTCCCACCAACAGTGTAAAAGTGTTCCTATTTCTCCACATCCTCTCTAGCATCTGTTGTCTCCAGATTTTTTAATGATTGCCATTCTAACTGGCATGAGATGGTATCTCAATGTAGTTTTGATTTGCATTTCTCTAATGACCAGTGATGATGAGCATTTTTTCATGTTTCTTGGCCTCATATATGTCTTCTTTTGTAAAGTGTCTGTTCATATTCTTCACCCACTTTTCAATGGGGTTGTTTTTTCTTGTAAATCTGTTTTCATTTTTTGTAGATTCCGGATATTAGTCCTTTGTGAGATGAGTAGATTACAAAAACTGTCTCCCATTCTGTGGGTTGCTGATTCACTCTAATGACTGTTTCTTTTATGTGCAGAAGCTGTGGAGTTTGATTAGATCCCATTTGTCTATTTTGGCTTTTGTTGCCCATGCTTCTGGTATTTTAGTCATGAAGTCCTTGACTATGCCTATGTCCTGAATGGTTTCGCCTAGATTTTCTTCTACGGTTTTTTATGGCGTTAGATCTTATGTTTAAGTCTTTAGTCCATCCAGAGTTAATTTTAGTGTAAGGTGTCAGGAAGGGGTCCAGTTTCTCCTTTCTGCACGAGACTAGCCAGTTTCCCCAACACCATTTATTAAACAGGAAATCCTTTCCACATAGGTTGTTTTTGTAAGATTTGTCAAAGATCAGATGGTTGTAGATGTGTGGTGTTGCCTCTGGGGCCTCTGTTCTCTTCCGTTGATCAATATCTCTGTTTTGGTGCCAGTACCATGCTGTTGAAATTACTATAGCCTTGTAGTATAGTTTGAAGTCAGGTAGTATGATGCCTCCAGCTTTGTTCTCTTTGCTTAGAATTGACGTGACTATGCAGGTTCTCTTTTGTTTCCATATGAAGCTTAAGGTGGTTTTTTCCAGTGCTGGGAAGAAGGTCATTGGGAGCGTGATATAGATAGCATTGAGTATATAAAGTTACATTTTAATTCAGCCGATTGAGGGATGAGATTCTGTGTTCGAGTTTTAACAATCTCAGCCCTGTAAGAGATAAGGTTCTCCTTCAGGACGTACATAGACACTTTCAGATTATTTATGCAGTGCTCGAGCTGGAAATTCAGTTCCCTGAGATCATCCTTTTCTTTCCCTACTTCATCCAGTGACGTTTGGAGCAGCCATCCAATCTCATTGTATTTATTAGTTTGACAGAAATGTTCAAATCATACATATGCAGGTCCTTGTGTCTCGCAAGTCGTAGATTAGGAGTGTCCCATGGTGACATTTCGTGGATCTCAATTGCCAGTTCATGCCATGAACGAACCAGTAACCAATAGGATGTCTATATCTATGGATAGAGATTGGTTTATTATAAAGAATTAGCTCATGCAATTATGGAGACTGACAAGCCCCAAGATCCGCAAGGTGATTCAGCAAAGTGGAGACGTAGAGAGTCGGTGGTGTAGCTCCGGTCCAAAGGCCAGCTTGAGGCCTGGGAAGAGCCAGTGTTTCAGTGCAAGTGTTAAGGTAGGGAAAAGCTAATGTTGCAGTTTAAATGCAATCAGGAAGAAAGAGTCCTTCCTTACTGAGGGGAGGGTTAGTCTTTTTATCTATGCAGGCCTTCAGCTGGTTGGATAGGACCCACCCATATCATGGAGGACAATCTGCTTTTCTCAGCCTACAAATTTAAATGTTAATTTAGCTAACATTTAAATTCCATCCAGAGATGGAGTCCGCACGGGTAAGGGGCAGGGAGACTTTTAATTTGGGAGTTACTCCCGCCCCATTCAAGTTCTTGTCCCGTGAGAGGAGTTTCCTCAAACTTCCTCTGGAGTGATTGATCTTTGACTTTGGTACCTGATTGGCTGCCCGGCTCGCAATAGAGCCCCTCCTTCCAAGGCTTTTGGTGGGCTTTCTAAACGTAGGAAGCTCACCTGGGTGGTCCACCTTTCCCACGCACACAAAAGTTAGACCAAGAACTCTAGTTCCCGGATGGGGAGGTGAGTGGAGGTATGGCGCTGGGAAGTTCTTGCCTTTGAAACCATGCCCCTTGTGGACCCGGGAAGAGAAGTTAACACAGTACTTCAGTAGCATGCCTGTAGCAGAAGCTACTTGGGAGGCTGAGATGGGAGGATCAGTGTAGGAAATAAGAATAAATAAAAGGTTCCTCTTCAAAGATTTCCTCTTAGTTCATTATGAATAAATAATGGTTTCTTCAAAGGTTAATTTACTTTAAAGCTTCTGCTAATAATCTTAAAGTAGCTGTTAGTCATAATAAAAAGTGTACCCTGTATTCGTAGTTCTTTCACTTTAACCTAGATATTTGCCCTGACATGCCTGGACAAGCCCAGGCAAGTCTTAGGTCATAGCTTATTCCCCTTCTTTATTTGGAAACGTTGCTTCTCTAAACATTCCTCAGGTCACTCCCTCTTTGCCTTTGTTCTCCTCTGCGTTTACCCCTTTAGGAAAGTTTTTAGTTGCTAGGCAATGGGGTGCTGCCTAGACTATGAAGTCCAGTTCCAGCCAGTGGAATCAGAACACAGCAGTAGGGTGGATACGTTAGATATAAATGGCCCTGCCTCCTTTGTTCGGTGTCCTCTCGTGGCAA